CCTCTTCAGCAGTCCTATGGAGACCATGCGCTGCGCACGTCACATGTACCATTTTTGAATATAACGCATTAAGTGATTTCCCACACTTAACCATATAAGGCGCCGCATCCGATAGAAATAATAACACGTCATCGTGTTGGATTCCGTCAGGCCACAAAATACTGAGCGATTTGTCGAAAAATTTGCATACGGTAGAGTGGTTTGTTTTTTCTAATGCGTCGGTATTTAATAAAAATATATCACCTGCTCTATCTTCTTCTAGAGTTCCTATTATGGCGTTTGCAATTTGTCTTCCCTCAGCGTCAGTCGTTTCATCGATCGATATCCAAATTTTTTTTAAAAACACACGTTGTCTTATGTTTTTCATCATTTCCTCGTAACAATCATCAAGATAAAACTTTCTAAGTGTCGATTCAGTGGGGACATCTTTTTGTGTGTATAGCTGAAAGAATTGACGAAACTCTGTATTTTGTAACTTGTTAAGTGGAATATTAGCTGATATAAAAGCTTTGCATAAATCCATATTAAAAGTCGATTTTTTCGACGTTAGATTTGTTAATAGCTGTTGGCTGTTGGCTGATTTTTGATTTATTTTACGTTCTACAGCACGACGATGTTTTTCTGTTTTTATGTGCTGTGTAATACTAGATCGTCTTTCGGGATCCACTTTCACTTCGCAAAGTTTGCAAAATAGAACTACATTATCAATAGAGAATACATCTTCGCCGAACTCAGAGCTTAACGATTTAAGGCGTCGTGACAATGATTGCTTATCTTTAGGCATCGTTAAATCAGAAATATTAAAAAAATAAAATTATCATTGCGACACGCGACGGGCTTAATACTGACGACTGACTAATGTGCACTCGAAGTTCGCACTGTACAGTGAAACCGGTACGCACGTAGACCGTAGTATTACAAGTTGTAATAATAATACTGATAAAATAATAAATACTGATAACGACCTAATGGTTAAACATAATTGTTTACAAATTTCCTAGGATTCATATATGAAATATATGAATGCCGTGTTAAATTTGGATAAAAATAAATACGGGCCGGCCGGTCGGCAGTAACTATTTCGAGTTCTCAGTACTAGAGATTATATAATATTATTGTTAAATGCATTGGGAGCAATATAAGAATATCTAACGACATATTTTTCGATAAATTTATTTTGTAAAATATCTAATTTTATTTTGTTAACTATAATTAAATTGTATAAATGTAAAAAAAAAATTGTTTTCGTTAAATCTATAAAATATGCATAAAAATGTTCTAAAACCTAAAATATGCTAATTCGTACAAAAAATGACGAAATATGCAAAATTATGCAACAAAAATTTTTATATTTGAAATATACGTAGTATGGATCAAATTTGTATCGAACCAGAAGTTCAATATGCACTTTCTTAACAAATATGCAAATGCCTAAAGTTCCGAGCCTTGGTGATAACATTATTATCATAATTGAAATAAATATAAACAATCGAATTTTATCTAAAATACATAATAAATACACAATTAATCATAACTTAAAATGATTATTGTATATCTTACAAAAAATTATAAAATACAATACTTGGCGACTTAGTTCAGAGTACAATTAATATAATTCGAATAAAAGTAAGTTTAGTTAAATTTGGTATGGTATTAAATACAAAACAAGTTTAATAAAATAAATTTATAAGAATAACAGTTATAAAAACACAAAATTAAATTTACACCATTTCTACAAAATAATACCAGGAAAAATGATAATAAACATTTCATGATTCAAAAGAAAATTTAGAAATAATTTTGATAAATATTACTATTCATATTAACACATTGTGAAGCTTCAAAATATTAGATATAAACACTAATAACCACTCTGTGGTAATCTCTATACGAGTAGTTTATGAAACATTTAAATAATGTGTCTTCGTTAAATATACTCTTCAAACTCAGAGTAAAAGAATAATCGATTTATTATGTTTGGTTTTTTTTTTTTTTTTTTTAATTACTTTTTATAATTTTATTAAAATGAAAATGCACCTAATTTACAATCCAATATGGTACGAAGTGTACCACAAAACTAAAACACAATTTTAGATTCTGAGTGATGCGTTGAATGTATTTTTTTTGTAATGGTATATTCGTGTTTTATTTTATTTATTTTACTTTTTTCGATCTGTGTACACCATAAGTAGTCGTAATAATTATGCTTCGATATTCAACTACAGTATCTTGTATGATGGAAAAGTGAGTCTAGTTGGTGTATTGGAAACCGTCGAATAGCACTAATTGAGCATTAAAATTTAGTGCTATCGTGGATTTCGGTGCTGAGGATGCACCCGCTGGGACGAAATACGGGAAATCCCATAACTCGAAGGGAAACACAGCACTAATTTCGAAAACGGTAGGGTCGAATAGAACTAATTAAGTACTAAAATTTAGTGTAATCGCGGATTTTGGTGCTGACGTTGCACCCGCTATGTGAAGTTAGCGGAGAAAGGTAAGCCCCTTTGTAACTTTTAACTGTGTATAGCACTAATTTCGAAAACGGTAGGATTGAATACCACTATTTTAGCACCAAATAATAATGCCATAGCGGAAATTAGTGCTCGAATTTTTCCGCTAACTTCACGCACTTTTATTACCATCTCATGACTAATTTAAAAATTCAATTAGCAAAGTACAGATCCGAACAGTTTAGTAAATATTTAACTACTTTGAGTCCCAACAATGGCTCTCTCTGGAAAATAACCAAAAGTCTAATTAATCATCGTGATAATACACCTCCACTTGAATGACCTGACAAATCATTAGTTATTTCTGATGTAGAGAAAGCAAATCTTTTGGTAATCACCTATCATCTATTTTCTCTCCTTATCCTGATCTAAATTCTACGCCAGATCACGCCAATCTAATAAATTCATTTTTGTCCTCCTCTTTGCCCATATCTCTTCCTGCAAAACCGATTTCCCCTGTGGAAATTGTTTCAGTAATCCACAAGCTTCGGCCAAAAAAAACACCGGGTCATGACCAAATTACAAATAAAATAGCCAAAAACCTATCAAAAAAGTCAACCCTGTTTCTTACTCATGTCTATAATGCTATGCTTCGTTTGTCTTATTTTCCTCCTACACGGAAATATTCAATTATCATTATGATCTCTAAACCAAATAAACCTAAACATCTCATCAGCTCTCATCGTCCTATCAGTTTACTACCCACTTTTGTAAAGCTCTTCGAAAAATTAATTCTACATAGAATTACATCAATAATCGACCAACATAGCATATTACCAAAATCACAATTCGGGTTCCGTCGCAAACACAACACAATACACCAATCCATAGAATCACAGATAAAATCTCAGCTTCCTTTGAGACAAAGCAATTCTGCCCCGAGGTATTTCTAGATATATCTCAGGCTTCTGACTGTGTTTGGCACGACGGGCTTCTGTTTAAACTAAAACATTTTCTCCCTTCGCCATATTACTTAATCATCAAGTCATATCTTGATAATCGGTCTTTTTCCATTCGTCAGAAAAATAGTTATTCGACTGTTCATAATATTAAAGCTGGAATTCCTCAGGGTAGTGACCATTCACCTGTACTCTATAATATCTTCATCACTAATATACCTACAAAAAGCCAAACTCTTCTCACCTCATTTGCTGATGAAACAGCAATACTTTTGTTAAATAATATTTCTGATATCGCATCACAAAATTTACAATCACATCTAAATAAAATAGAATCTTGAGCTAAAAAATGGAAAATTAAAATCAATGACGAAAAAACCACTTAAGTGAATTTTTTACTAATCAAAAGAGAATGTCCCCCACTAAAAATCAATAATAAACTAATTCCACTTCATCAGTCAACCAAATATCTAGGTATAACTTTGGATAAAAGGTTGACCTGGTTAAACCACAACAAGCAAAAACGAAAACAACTAAGCTCTTGTCTCCATCTACTTAGACCTCTACTAAAATCAAATTTAAGTGTCAAAAACAAATTACTCCTACAGCTAAACCCGCAAACATTCACCCTATTCAAGCCTTTCAATCAATTACCCTAAGACTTATCACCGATGTACCATGGTACATAAAAAATGCAGCCCTCCATAATGATCTAAAAATAGAAATAGTAAATGAGCTTGCAAAAAGCCACTACAAAAGTTTCCATTCAAAATTAATAAACCACGTAAACCCCTCATTCGTAACATGTCCTTTCTAGCATTACCACAAATTCCTCATCGATTAAAAAAAAACTGGTCAAGAGATCTCCTAAAATAGCAAAAAAAAATAAATAATTTCTGAGGTTCTGTTAATTAACGGTCTCCTTTTCACGCGACTTATGTTTGTAAATTATCCTTAAAGTTATCCTTATTACCTATTGTTTTTATTTTGTAAACAGATTGAATATATTTAAAATAAAAAAAAAAAGCTATCTCAAACAAATATATAGTCCACATATGTATGTAGCTAAATGCTTTAAATTATGAGTAATTACTAACCTGGTGATTACTAAAACAATTTGGTTGGCGCATTTTTTAAAAGTTTAATGTACATGTTTTATTATATCAACATTCAACATGTAAATTAAAATGTGTTACATAGTTACGAATTTAATGGTTAAGAAAAATTACATTTTTTTTTCTTTTTTTATCTAAAGACATTTTTTATTTAAACTACTTTATATACATATATTATTTAATTAATTAACAATATACCTAATATTAAACATCATTTGATTGTTTCAGAAAAAAATTATATAAACGATTTATAAACGTAAAAAATTAAAATTAAGTGCATCCAATTCACAGCTTTAATTCATATTAATCAATAATATAATGTTCAAAATAGTTTTTGTGATTTTGAAGCAAAATTATAAAAATTATTTTCTTATTCAACATATTAAGTGTATTAAAAATACAAACTCATAATTTAATATTTATCAATTTAAACATTCATTTTATTTATTTTTTTTATACAATTATTTTCATAACTAAAAGGCCAGACCAAAAATTGTTAAGATAACATACATAGATTCGTTTTCCCATTTTACATTACATTTACGATCTGTTGAGTTGTCCCAATAACATGAACTAGCTACATAAAAACCAGCACCATTTTTTTGCAATATAGTACATATCACTTAAATAAAACACTTATAAAGTAATTTTATTACTATAAATTCACCAAAAAAACAAAAGTATGGTAAACTATTAGGTATATAACCGATACAAGAGATAATATTGTATTACTCATATACTTAAAAGGTTTGGCTAATTGACATAATCTCATTAGAGATTTATCAATTACATTATTCACCCATTTATTTACCATATTTCGTTGGTATAATTGATTGCCGATTGTATGTTCAATCGAGTCCTTGGTAATATCGCTAACTTCATTCACATCAAAATGATTCTAAAATTATTAATTTTTATTAATACGTATTTATTATGGTAAAACAACTGTTGAAAAAGGTTTTTAAAATTGTAATCATAATTATGAACAATGCTGTCGTTAGCGGGCAGGCAACTTAGGCAATCGCCTTGGGTTTCGTACTTCAAATAAATTCGAGGGCCCACAATTTGTCAAGTTAGAAAAATTAAATATATTTAGATGTAAGGAAATTGTACTAATTTTGCCTAAGGCTTCGCAAAAGTTTGCGAAGGCACTGATTATGAGTACAGTACAATTAGATTTAATCCAATAGATACAAGACAGATTTCTTTACAAAAGCATTGTTAATGATGATAAATTTGCAAGGATAGATTAAATAATTTATGGTTTACAATAACAAATCTGAAAATAATATTTCACTGTTATTATAGTATTGAAACAAGAAAGTATTTACCTCTTCGTCTAAATAACCCATATTGTTTGAATTGAAATAAGTATTTGTGTTTCTGAAATGCATAAATTTATTTTTAACTAAATAAAAAAAAAACTTCAACTAATCAATAACAACCAAAGGTAAAACAATTCGAACCACAAACAACAAATGGAGAAAAATAATAGAATATTTGTTTCAACAATATAAATATTTTAAAACTAAAATTCGGTTTGATTAACAATTTACATTATTAACACTTATTATATAAATAATTGTTGAAAGTTATGATAACTTGCTGTTGGCATGACGCTTAATTTTATAAATTTTATTAATTGGTTAATATGTAGGTATTTTACGCAATAAAATAAAATAAACGCAATATTAAATTATTCTAACCATAAGCTAATCAAATTTATTACTTATTATTAATAATTACTACTAAAAATGTTCAGGTATCTCGTAAAAATAATAGTCAGATGGCAAATACGTGAAAAATATTCAAAACTTTCTATAACAGTATCATATGTACAGTACACGATAAACAAATAAAACATGCGTAATCAAGAGAATCGGGCGCGTGCACGTGTGAGGATCATTCTTCGTTTGACTCACCTGTCGACTATGTCCTCAATATCCTTTTCGGATGACATTCAAATCAATGCGCGCCCGATTTAAAATATACAGATTAGCAACAATACATATTCGCAACGGGACCACACCTATGCTTTCGGTCTGTGACAAATACTCATAGCGATAGGTGTGTATGTTATATACACTTTATTAACGTTATAGCATCTTCCTTTGCTACATTATTATATTTTATGTATTTTACTAGAAATTTAATCGATTATAATATAGGTATAGATTATAATATTTTTAATACATGTAATATATGTAATACGGTTATACCGTAGAGAGAGAGAGAAAGAGAGAGATAATAAATATGTATTCACTCTGGTATCCGCTCATCTTTATGACCCTTTCTAATGGCGCACGTTTGTAGTATTATTTTTCAATGGTATTTAACATAATTTTGAAAAATGTGTAGTTAATTTAATTTTTACGAGTTTGCAGCATACGACGCACAACCAAACACAAGTAAATATAACGTTCTAATTAAGTGCATATTGTAGTCTCACCAGGAAGTTGGATATATTTTTCTTTTTGTATTAATAATAAACTCATAATTAGCGTGTATTAGCGTGACAAAAATAAAAATTTGCATGAAAATATTACAAAAACTTTATACGGGCAGTATCATACTTTATTATATGATCCAGGTGCGTATTTAACCCACTTCCAAATTAGTTCGAGTGCTGGATTTGATTAATCTTCCGTATTATTTGAATTATAAATTAAAATTAATTACCTATCTAAAACAACGTCACTGCGTACTTACGTTCATCATACTCTTGGGTCCGAATGCAAAACGAAACACGATCGAATTATGTGCTTTTCAATTTTTAGTCGGTATTTTAGTTGTAATATGTGCAAACGCTTTCGGCTAAAAGGAGTATTCCAAGAATTTCACGTATAGACTTATCAATCAATCATTCATCTAATGGATACGTACAAAAGAAATTTTTACCGAATCATCTAATAATTAAAAATAGTACCTATGCAAATTCAAAAACGAACTTTTACGATCTAATTTGCGTGGTATTTAACAATAATTTAGATGACAGCTTTATAATAATCAAAACTGATTGATTATTGACGTAAAACCGATAATTAATTATTTTAAGTTTTCGCTACCATTTTACGAATTTTCTAACAATCGTTGGATTTATGAATAATAGAATTACAATAATGTACTAATGATTTCTAACAGCATGCGATTTGCAATCTGTAACAATGAAACAAATAATAATTTGGTCACATCATCACAGTCGAACGCTAGATGTTTTCCGCGATAATCTCACTGCTTTATTGTTTTTGACTAAACACCACAGCAATCCCCGTGCACAAATGGTGCTGTATGTACACTTATAGGTATACCTCATGGATGACGTTAGCACATCGTCAGTGGATATATTCTCGGTTACACCACGGCGAATGTCTTGTAATACGATCTCGTCCATATTCATTTTCTTCTGATGCATTAATCTTTGATCGATTGGGATTCGCTTCGGAGATAATATTATTTCCAGAAGCTAGTGGCTTTCACTCAGCCTACATCTACACCGGGAATAGTACGCAAACGAATATTCTCCCATGCGAATTCGTTTTGTTAGAAAGTAAAAATAAAAAAATAACAAATACGAATAAAAGAAGGAGAAAAATAAAACGTTCGCAAGGTTACCGCTGGAAGAAGATTACCATCTACTATCGCGCGCATCGTCCGCCAGGCGCGATTTGCTTCCCATTACATCTTTCCATCCGTTCGAGTACTTACCTATATGTGCTATACACCGCAATGACCGTTATAGCCTACATAGGATTTCGCTTTTTTTTTAGTTGATTTAGTCATTATATTATATTATCTTGTCCTTCTCAAAGAACCGTCGCGTCGTGCAACCGTATAAATATATCCAAGCATAATATATATATATATGTTACCGATAATATGGATAATCCGATATTTTGCAAAATGCCTAGGCATTATATAAAATACCAAAAATCACTCGGCAATATACATAATAAGAGTTTTGCCTAGGTATTATGTATAATGCCAATCGTGGAGTAGGCAATATGACGATCTAGGACAAATGAACGTAGCCGTTTGGACGTGGTCGTTTGGACATGGGGACAAATGGATGTCAAAAAAAAAAATATATATATATATAAATCAGTAGATAAAATAAATAAGTTATTTAGGCCTAGACATTTTGCAAAATACCTGAATTATCCATAATGCTGGTAACATTATATATATATATATATATAAAAACAGGCATTTCTTATGTTCCTTTTTGTGACGAAATTTTTTAATATTTTCCAATTTTTTTTCACAGAGTTTTTCCAAGTACTTTCATGAGTGTCATCACGTCGCCTTCGATTTTTATTTTTTTTTGTCTGAGAAAAGGGTTATATTTAAAGGTTACGGTTTTTTAGCTTACCATTTAAATAATTTAACGGATTTTTTTGTACAAAGTTGTACCAAATACAAGTGATCTATTATTCACAATTTTATTGTATTCCTCATTTCAGTTATAATCGTGATGGATTACTTTTCTATCGATACAGTTGTTGATAGTGAAGAATTTGTACATTTTCTACAGATTTCTTAAATTCACCAACACTTTGAAATATCTCCTCATAAAATATCACTGACAGTGAGAGTTTCAATCTTATTATGAGAATTTTGAATTCACCAAGGTCATTTTATAAGTCTAGGCTCCCGTCACTTCTTTTACAAAAAAATGTAATTAATTAATAATTGAAGCTAAAATTTTGATTGTATGTACTATGAGAGAAAAAATATTTTTACTGATTATTGACCATTATACCTCAACGATTTTCCAGTTTAGTTTAGAAGAGTTCAGGTTCCAATAAAAGTTTGTTTTACAATGACAATAAACAAAGCGCAAGGATATACTTTAATTTATTGTAGTGTATAAATTAAAAATATCTGTTTCTCACATGGACAATTGTGTGTTGCATTTTCTAGAGTTAGAACACCTGACCATTTATACATTTATACACCATCAAATAAAACTCTGAATGTAGTACACCGAGAGGTTTTGACTTAAGTCATTTTAGAAGCGAATAACTCAGTGTAGAATAATTTTTAAATATTCATAAATAAAGTTAAATTATACAAATTATAATTATAAACTAACTAATAACTAATATTTTATAACTATAGAATTATTAGAATCATTTATAAATATTATTATTACAATTATTATATTTTTTATTCGTAATTCTGCTACTACTACTATTTAGCACTTGATCAAATTATGCAAATTAAAACAATTAAGAATTTAATTTAGAAAAAGCAAAACCTATACACAGGTAAAGCCGGGTAATTCAGCTACTATATATAGTTTTAACTTATAAAAACCTATTTTATTTTCACGCGAAAACCGATCATTACATATAGCCGTTCGGACGGTGTAATTCGATGGTCTCGCATTCCTCTTCAGAGGTCTATGGTTCACCATCCGTCGAAAGTCGGATTGCATTGAATCATCAAAGACTACATGTTCACGCAAACACGGTCAAAATGTAATGACCGGGTTACAGTTGGTAGCGCCGTATAGACAAATATGTTCGATCAGCCGAACGACCGTTAGGGGCGGTTGGCAATATTTAAAAATGACGTTGTGACGCTGTGCATCGACGAAAAACCCGCCGCCGGTGTGCTGTTCTTTCTCGTCTCCGTTACGAACCTTGTCGTTCTTGGTGTGCGTTGATTGTTTTTCTACACGGAGTTGTCGTGTCTTGTTGGTCCACGTATGTTGACGAGGATGTAAGATCTATTCTTACAACGGAAGTTGCCGTCCAAACCGACGTTCCGGTAGCCGTCGTTTCGGCCACGCTGTTTGCGGATAGACGCTGCTCTCCGTGATAGCAAGTTGTGCGCACATGATTCTACCGTTTGCGGTACACCATCGCCGTTTGCGAGTCGCCGTCGTTCTGGCCACGTTGTTCATTATTCCGCCGTTTGCGGTACACCATCGCCGTTTGCGAGTTGCCGTCGTTCCGGCCAAGTTGTGCACCCGCGAATCCGCCGTTGGCGATTCACTGTCTTTACATCGACATTGTCGGGTTTTGTTTATTATTTCCTTTATATATATATATATATATATTGACAAAATATGTTTTAATTTATTATATTGTTCCCACGTGGTTTATTTCTTGTTTGTTGATATTTATTGAAATATACTTATGTTATTATTATTATTATGTAAATACCAGATTTAGCCTTATTCAATCTCCAGACACTCTAGTCATAGGGGCCAACTGCCTAGTAAAGAGTGGCGAACACTACTTGTTATCATGTAGGCTTTTGGGGGTGAATTTTAGAAGGTACTTTTTGTTTTACGATACTATCCTTAGGCGTCGGAGAATAATATGACGTATGAATACAACTGTTT